TGTTTCCAACACTATTCAAAGTTCTGACAAATTCCTTTTAAAACCTTTTCAGTTTTCAGCTGGTGGCCTCTATCCTGTGCCAGACGGTAAAAGCTCACTCAGAGTGAACGCCGTGAGATAGATCATCCAATATTCCCAGCGCTCCCCTTAAAAATAGACGCCTCATAAATAGTTTGAAGAGCCTGCGTTCTTCTTTTACTGTAATTCCCCCAGCAGTATCAGCACGAAGAGATTATCAACAAGAGGCGAAAGATATCGAGGCCTGACTGGGGCGTGAGAACTGCCCTGGAGGCTGACCGCTTCTCCACCGACACGGAGTAGGTCAGTTTAGAAAATAATGAATAACTTATTAAAATGATTTCACTATATTAGAAACATGAATGAGGATTTTCTTTTTTATATTTTATCTGATAAATTTATACCAGTTGTTGCAGTGATTATTCAGTTCATTACTTTAATCTTGTTGCCATTTTTAGGCTGTAGTTTCTCTAATGAGTTTCTCTAATAATAGAATTGACAATTAAATCTCACAACAGGTTTTAATGGTGCTGCCATCTGGAGGCACAGCGACTGGTTGCCCCGAGCGTCAAGTCAGCATGTGGAGAGGGCCGTTAGCCTCCGGAGGATCCCTGACGCAGCCGAGGGTCGGAAAAGTTTCACAAAGTTTCCTGTTGTGAGTCGACACAGGTCGATCATTGATGCTGTGATAAAACTGCAAAACTGTACAATCACTGACATGTCAGTAGCATGTTTGCCTGCTAATTTTCTATTATTTAATAGGCTTATTTACTGACGTATTCATCCATTTAGTGGTTTGATTTGATTTGTCTATTTATTCCTTGCTTCGTTTCAAAAGTTGTTTTTTTTTCTCAGCCCGTTCCAGGTTCACTTTAACTCTGGTTTTGTTTTCAACCACAGTTCCACATATGTTTTTGTTCCTACAGTTTTAGCCTCAGTCCTGAGTTAAACCCTTTATCTAAAAGAGAAGAATGATTTCATTTGACTCACGTTATCTCAGTTGTGCATGACGTCACTGTGACTGTGGAGTGGTGAAGGGTTTTGGCGAGACACCAGCAGACCCTGTGGCAGTGAGGGAACCACTCTCCTCAGCTGTGACCCTCCCTCAGGGTCATCAACAGCTGAAATGATTTGAGCTAATGACATGGTCGTCAATGCCTCGGGTGCTGTCGTGTTTTTGTTTTGTTTATTTGTTTTTACTGCTGCTTTCTCCATGGAAAGAAAATCCTTCATTCAGTTATATTTAGTTTCACATTTTCAAATTTTAATTTCACCCGTTATCACCTGATCTAATGTACAGTGTTCTCCTTCAGTTAATGAATCAGTCAATCAGTTACAGCCACTGTTCACACTCCGGTGTTTATCCAAGGTATCAGTACCAGAGAGCAGACACAGTGACGCAGGCGGAGTCGGGGGAGTCGGGGGAGTCGGGGGTGATGAATGACAGACGGACAGAAGGATAGTGTGAAAGGAAAAGGTTGAAAAGATAGAAGTGAGACCCCTTCGGCCTCCCCCCCCGCCCCTCCCCCCCGCTCCTCCTGTGGATAAACACAGAAGGGGGTGGAAGTGTAAAGTGTGGCTGTGATCAATTCAAGGACGTGTCCGCGGCCGTGTCGACATGTCTGCACGCATGTCCACAATGGCGCTGACCGGCCCCTCTGCGGCGTGTGGACCAGCAGCAGCTAATAAGGTGCTCCACTGACCCGGTGGTCGAACACTGAGGGACGACACGCACACATTTGTTCATCAGGTTTTAAATAGATGTTCCCTTCAGCGGTTACTGGAGCAGAGGGGGAGAAGAAGGAGAACCACTGATAATGTAACAGAGAATATTGAACATATACTTTTAGATTTGACTGTAGTCCGTCCTGACCCAGATACATGTCGACACAATTGGTTTAATGCACAAGTTTTCTGTGAAAATCCTAAAAGTCCTATTACATCCAATTGATCTGAAAACTATTATTTATTTACTGCAAATAAGTAAATAATGACCATCTGCTGCCACTAGGTGGCTAAAAATTACAAATAAAACTAATAAAATTATAAAAAGTACTAAACAAAGAGAGAGAGACTGTGATTTATTGATATTGTTGAAGAGGATTTCCTTGTGTCTTTATTCAATTCCTGGCAGTACGTCAGGGTTTGTTCAACTAAACAGGCCCAGGTTTCACACTGGGTAGGAGTAAATTTGAACTAGAAGATGTGTATATTTCATTATATATATACTTTTCGGGATGTTTTTGTTTAGTTGTGCGGACGAACCATATGTTGTGGTTTATGGTTTGAACTGGATCTAATTATAAGGGAAAACTGATGAGATTGTTTTTTAGTTACCTCTCAGTCAAAACTGCTGACACAGCTCTTGGTTATCAACACAAATGCCTTTATTAAACATTGGTCTAACAAAAATATAGGTGAAACTATAACAAACCATTCAAATGGAAGCTCTGGTGAACACGCACAACCAAAATAGGTAAAGATAAAAACAAACATCACAGAGTGAATGGTTAGAAGACAGCAGCTGCTACGTGACCAGAAAAATATTTTATATTTCTTTAGACAATAAACTAAAAAAAAACCCAAAACCAAAACAAAGTTCCGTACAGTGATTATTACAGTAATCAGACACAGGATTGGTTAATGCTGAAGACAGAACGCTCGCTAGCTATTCACAGGAGAAGCCTTCAGTTTCGTGTGTACCATACGTACTGCGTTCCTTTCCTTCCTCTCACGCTCACGAGTGCATTAGACCTGCTATCACTGAGTGAGCTCAGTGTCAGCTACAATCACCGGTCGCTCACCATCAAAGTGCATTTCCCTCTCTCACGCCAGAGGTGAGTGTCTGTCCACACGTTCTCACCATTCTTCCACTTCCACACGACACCACTGTAAAGTGACCACTCATTTATTCAGAAAGTGCAGCTGAGGTTTCCCTCTGTTCAACTCACTCAGATAAAACACATTTTCACGTCTAAATAATCCAATTCTAGCACTGATCTGAAAATGTGCTTTGTTTCCACGTTTGGTTTTTTCCCTCATCCAACTTCACAGGTAAACTCTTTCTTTATCTCTGTCTTTAAGGCCCGTTTTTTAAAAAAACGTTTGTTTGTACACACGACATAGAACATTTATAGGAAGACATTAAATATGACACATCGAACACGTTAACACAGGTACGTACACAGACTGTATATCAGTAAGTAAACTGCAGTGAATACTGTGAAGTGAAAAGCTGCGCAAACCAGATTCTTCTTGTTTACATCTGCACCACATGTGATAAAAATTAACCTGAGCTTAACTTAGATCAAAGTTAAACCTGAAACAACATAAAAATGAAATTATCACAGACGTGTCCCTCAAAATACCCTGGTAAAAAAAAAAAAAAAAAAAAGATTCTGAAGTGGTTTTTAACTATATATCAAAAAAAAAAAAAGAAAAAAAAATCTGAAGTGATTGGTTTTTAACTATATATCATAACTATAAGACAGAAATGTTGGATTAAAAAAAAATAATATTGACATTATATTCAGATTCATTTGCAGGAAAATGGGAAGTAGAATTTCCCAGAATGTTGAATACTTGGTTTTAACCGTAAATATACTTAGTCCAGTGTCTGTTGATCAGTGGTTCTCAAACAGTGGGTAGATTTCCATGTCCCAGAATGTTGAATACTTGGTTTTAACTGTAAATAGTGGGTAACAGTGGATAGTTTTCCATGAAATATCATGTAATCAATAAGTTTGACTGATTCACTCCTTCAGTTATTCTGACTTCCCATGTGAACATTTTAGATTTAACAAGAAACTAAACAAAAAAAAAAAGGAAAACAAAATAAATAGCTGTTAGTGGATTGTTTAGTAACAGCTTCACTTTTTAAACCACATCATTTGCTGCTCAGCTTAATTATGGTTTCTGGTTTTTACATTACAAGGACGCTCAGATAACAATCAAAGGGAACAAGGCAGAAAATACTCTACAGTCAGTGTTCCGACGTAACACTCACGGAAACCACAAGGTGATTCTTCTAACTAAATCAAGGAGCTACATGAAGCTACGTGAACAAAGCTAAGCAGAGCAGAAGCAGTTCAACCCGTGCTCTGGGGCCACTCCCCACCTGCAGCAGAAACTACTGTGAACGCATCAGGTAGGTCGACAACAGGAACAAACAAAACATTTTCGGACAAACATCACTTGATGGACTCAGAGTGGAACTGCTCCAAAAACTAAGTGGTTCCTGGAATGCTCTTTTCTGCGTAGCCCGTCCTGATGGCCTCCCTCAGAGGAGCGCCGCCCTGGGTTTCCAGGATGGTGTAAACAAAAGCCAAAGTGATGGTCAGATTACAGTCTGAGCAGGGCAATAAACAAGGACACCACTGCCGCCTGATGATTACTGTGCTGCTGAGACACAGCTCTCCACAGAACCACCGCGCTGCCACTGTGGGTCGGTGGTCCGAGATGAAAATACTGGACCGGTAACTGTGGTCAATCGATGTAAGAGGTTTTTGTTTGAACCGATCACGTGACTGGACACAGGTTTGGAGGAGGACTGGGACTCACTGATTAAAGAGTGTGATGGAAGGCAATCAATGAGACACTGGGTTCATGTCATCAATATGTCGGACCATGAGTCAAAGTAAAAGAGATTTTCTGTTGATTTACATCAGAACCAAAGTAACATTTATGTTATTAAAGAAACAGACGCTGCTCTGGAAAAGTAAAGGAAAATAAAGTCTATAGGTCGATTAGAGAAAAGTAACTCGCCGACACATCAATTATTTTGCGTCATCGTGGTCACTCGAATGCAGCCCAGCTGCTATTGGACAGTCCAGCTGTCACTCATCTACCTTGCACTTATGGAACAAAAATAATAAAAATAAACAGATTTGGAGAAACAAATGTGCCACATAAATCACACCAACATGGATCAACAGGACACACAGAAACAGATGACTCGGGAGTGGGGGAGAGAACGGGGAGGCGGCGGCAGCGGCAGCAGCAGCAGCAGCAGCAGCAGCAGCAGCAGCAGCAGCAGCAGGAAGTGGAGCAGTAACAGCACAGTAACCCATGTAACAGTGACAACACACAGTGCAATTTAGAACAGTTATATGTAATGCTTTTGTACATGTATACTGTGTGTATATATATATGTACCTCTCTGTTTGAATGTACTCTGTGTTTATGAAAGTTAGTACCAAGAAAATATCACTTTTCTTCAGCATAAACCTGAAAAAGTAGTCCTTTATAGTTATCAGAGGTGGATCTGACCTTGGAAAACAACGACTGGATGTGTTTGAGTTCTTTGGGGCAGTAACTGCTGTGATCAAACTGGGACAGAACCTAATTTATACTTTGAGGAGAGTGTTTTGCTGGAGACATTTTTTCTTTTGTTGCATTTAAGCTTTGTTTAGACCACTTTGATTTTAGAAAATTTGTCATTAAATCACATACAGGTGATTGAAAAAACAAACATTAATTCATTGATATGCTGTAGACTGATGTGTCCACTTTAGATTGTGCCTAAAAAGTCGTGAAATCTCTCAAAGGAAATATATTGATAATATTTTTGAAAAATAGTTTCTTTTGTCAAATATCCTTTCAAGGTGAAAATGTATGGTAAAGCATGACTGGGAACAAAGCTGCCAGACAATCAGCTTCGATGTTAATGATGATGATGTTAATTAGCAAAGATATTTGTCAATGAGACTATTCAACATAGATCCCTATCCATTTTGAAAACCCAATATTTCATTATATCTACATCCGTTTCTTTTACGCGGTCTCTACGGGCGTTAACTGACCAAATATCTGGTGGTCTAAACATAAGTCTCCTCATGTCCTCAGGGGCTTTCCTTAAAATGTTTTCATCCAAATTTAAAAACATAAAACCCTAAATGCTATATTTCCACCGACGTGGCTTAAAATAAGGCATTTTCCAAAGACAGTTTGAACCTGTTGGTATAATAATGTATCTGTCACTCGTCTCACCCACAGTCTCCTCTCATGCACTAGAACTGAATGACTTCCACATCATCATGCCACCGTTAAAGTATATACACAGTATCTCCTCAGAGGAACAGTGATGCCCGGCACGTTTTCCGTGGCACGTGACCTTTACATTACGTAACACGAACGAACCCTCGCAAAGGGCACGGAGCTGTACAGAGCCCTGGCATCAAGGCAATGACGATGCAACAGCGACCACCTACCGTGGGCTCATGTTCCCTGTAACACTCAGTATGAGGCCACACTACTGTGTCACAAAATGTGTGCATCTCACAATGGCGGGGGGGTCGAGGGTGTGGGAGGAGGGTGGGGGGGCAGGTCATTTTCACAGGCTGCAGTCATACTTTAGGTACCCGGGGATCAATTGCGCGTAAATTACGCACGCAGCGGCGGCGGCCACGGGGCTCAGATAAAGTGAATCCAGCCGTTCTCCCATTCACGTGGAGGAGACATCTTAAACTGGTGACGTCGCACTTTGTAGTTAATGCCGTTGTTATTGTCCCAGAACTCGTGGTCACCGACACAGTACTTGATGGCGAACTGCAGAGTTCCTCCGGTATCCAGGAAGGTCGGCATGACGATCTTGAAGGAGAACCTGTCGGTGGCGCCGTCGCTCGAGTGGGGCACGTAGGACGCCAGGCTGTCCATGAACGTTAACCAGTTGTTTAGGGAATAGCGCAAAGAGACGCTCTTTTCAAAAGCCAGGTTCAAAACGCGCACGAAGCCGGAGAGGCTGAACTCGTCCGCCTGCACGCTCTCCAGGAGGACTTTCACCTCCCTGACTTTCTGATCGAACCCCGGGAGAGTGCCCGGGTTGGTGAACTGCAGCTCCATGTACACAGACTGCGAAGGGGCGCGTGGGAACTTAGTGTCCAACTGATTAAAGTGCAACGTTCCTTTGGGTTTAGCCAGGATGCGCTCCGGCACCTGCGGCTCATCCGTGTCATCGAAGTGCTTGACTGAAATGAGCTCCAGGCCCAGAGAATCTGCGAAGCGCACTTTCTTTTGACTGGTCGGGCTCCGGCTGCGGGAGATCTCCAACTTTGCTCTCTCCGTGGGCGTGGGCAGAGACTTGCATCTCCGCCGCAGGTTAGGGCTCTGCTGGGGCTTGAGGAAGATCTCCCTGCCGCGCGGCCTCTCGTCCACCACGGGGCTATCCAGGGGCTCACAAGTCCCGTTCATCGTGTCATACTCTTCCCCGTCGTCGACCCGCGGGTTGGCCGCTGCCAGGCTGCCGAAGAGCCCGGCGATGCAGCTGTAGTTTCGCGGCAGGCAGTTCTTTGGGGGCAGCATGATCCGGGCAGGATGCGTGCAGTCCGCTTCCATAAAACGCTGCAGCCCCTGCACTGCAGACCCGAGGTGGTCGTGATGGAAAAGACCGGCGCGTCGTGAGCCGTCAGGTGTCCGTGTCCCCCTCTCGGATAGGCGCTGCGGCTGCGTCAGCCGCTGACTCTCCGCGGCTCTGGACCAATAAGTCGACGCGTCGTTGTGCGTCAGCGGAGGCTGCTCCAGCTGAACGGTCACTTTAAATTCGCAGGTTTGTGAATGACATAGACGCTGCCTGCACAGATGACAAAAAATAAATAAAAAATAAAAATAAATAAATAAATAGAAAGTGATATTGAAGAATGAGTCTGTCTGAGCTGCTCCTCGTCTGCTCTCACTGGGTGGCGCTGACGCAGGTCTATGTGGAGCCTCTGCGGGGCAGAGTTTGACGCCTGCGGTAGGTGTGTACGTGCAGATCTGAAGGTAGCGAAATGGTTTCCTCGGTGTAATGAAATAAAAACTCTAACTTCCTCAAATGACACTGCTGCGTCACAGTGATCCCGAGACAGGACAAACCCAAAGTAGGATTAACAATACAATACAATAATAGAATAGAATATAACATTATGTATTATAATATAATATTATGTAATATATCAGTATGCAATACAATATTTACATACTCTTGGAAAATCTAGTGCATCTAGAGCACACATGTCAAACTCAGGCCCGGGGGCCAAATCTGGCCCACAGTGTAGTTATATTTGGCCCGTGAGATCATATGTGTAAGTACAAATGTGTACTAGAGTTGGACCGCCAGTATATAGGATTTGTAGTATTGTGTATGTGTTATGTTATGTGTTTATGATATTAAGCTTTAGTTGTTGCAAATTCAATGTTTACGTAAAACTAAAATTTGTAAAAGATTTACATTAAAGAGGAACTGGAAAGGTTAAAAACATGCACAATTGCCAATAATTTTTCAATAAATATTAAGTTTGGCCCGTGACCTCGTGACCCACTGTGAATTTTAGTTTGACACTAAAACATCTTTTCCTTTGAATCACTCTGATGTCAGTGTGACTTTAAATAAATGATTGTTTTATAGATAAATACTCATTTTAACAGAGGACATCTGTTACACACTCACACTTTACTTCCTCTCCTTCGTTTACTTCATCTTTAGTTTTATACGGTTGCTGATTTGTTCCTATGTTGTGTTTTATTTCAAATTACGAAAGGAGAACAGTGAAGTAAGACTAGAACTTCAGTGGTTGAATCTCCACCCACCCTGCCCCCACATATACATAAGACAATCATGAACTGTGGACCCATGCTACAGTATGATATACAATATAATAAACATACTTAAATAATGAAAGTAAAACGGAAGACGTTCACATTAATTAAGCTCGAATAAAGCTAAATTTTATTGTTTTTTCATTTTTAAAAAAGCTTTCTACTACTTAAAATACCGCTGTATTAATACTACTGTGTTATTATCTTCAGAAGTACCGTAGTACTATTCTTGTTACTGTTGTTGTTGTTGTGTATTTTGTGTATATGCGGTGGAAAACGCGATGGAAAATCCCACCGCTGAACCGGATGGTTGCTCGTTGTGGTTGAATGCTTTTACCGTAATACTTCACATAAACGTTAGAATTACAGCACCGTAACTGTCAGTGTAAACGTGATCAACCGCTTGCCCTACTGGCGCTGCTCTGCTACGTCATCGAGTTGCCATGACGACAGCGTCGCGACGCTGAGTTTAGTTGAGGAATTTATTTACGGCTTCTGTCTGAACTTCCGTGAGAGACGGAGAAAAATAAAAAAAAAAATAGAAAAACTGCCGTAACGGTTTGTGCGGTGAATTCGGCCCGACATTAACATGCATTTGACGTATTTACTTGGCGCATTGTAAACTTTTACTGACTTTTATTTAGATCCCGCCATGAAGTAGTTCACCTCCGTGGTCAGAGTGAATGATGGCCACAGAGACAGAGACAAAGGACAGGAGACACACAGAGGTTCTTCTGGACATCAGTGAAGAGGAATGGAGTAAAGACCTCGAGCCACATGACTATCACTGCAGAGGTGGATGGGAAGAAACGGTGAGTTCAATGTTTCAATTTTTTTAACCTGCATTTTCCTGGATAAATAACCAAAATTTATATCATATTGTCTGTCCTTAAACATATAAAACTTGGAATGATGGGATCTTATTTTGAAAATCCCAACATATTTGGATTGAACTCTCATTGGAATTAAGAGTTAAAGACGTGTAAACACAGCATTTACTGTATGACTAATACTTGAAGAATGACTAAACAATACGAGCCTTTCAGACCCATGTGGTTTAAAACAGCGGGGTTGCTGAGCTACGAGCCCAGTACATGACATGAAGTATTATTTACGACTGTTAACATGTATTAAAACACTCCTTCCAGTCGGTAGACGACACATCAGAGAGTTATGTGCTCACAGCAAAAACATCACTTGTTCAATCCTGCTGGTCACTAGTGGTATTACAGTCCGAAATTTGTAATTGAGATTGTTAAATGGGGTTGAAAGTGACTACTGTACAGACTAAATAATATTGATGAGAACAAGGGCTGTAATTGTACACCAGGGGTGTCAAATATACGGCCCGCGGGTCAAAACCGGCCCGCTAGGGTGTTCATTCCGGCCCACTTGATGAATTTTGAAAAAAAAAAACATATTTTCATATCATAATTGTAATTAGTATAAATTAATTATTATCCACAGATTTTGTTTTTTAAATTA